GCGGCATAGACTACCTGTGAAAGTTACAAATAACAAACCACCTCTAACTGGATACCTATGCAAGCATTTGAGTGCAGAAATTCTTTATTTCACTAATCACATCTATGCATATCTTGTAGATTCACTGGTAGAAAGAAATTCAAGAGCATTCGAAAAGTAATTCCAGTTGGATAGAAGCACAAATCTCAGGTTCACTCATGATTTTCATTTGATAAATTAAAATATTTTACTTCAATAATTTTTCTATCTAGTTATTTAAAATTAATCAACTGCAAAAATTTTAACTATTACATAATCTGGCCCCTACATATCACAATCCACTGGGTTGCATCACTTAATATTAGCTCTAAGAAATAATTTATGGAAAAGCAAAATTATATCATTTACAAAATACACAATTGAAACAAGTTTTATTACAAACTATATTTACAGTGGAGTAGACAAGTTCCAATCAACCGTCACATAAAAATCATAAATGCAATTTACAAAAATGGTTATCACTGTCAATTTTCTTCCAAAATTGCTGTACAAATTAAACATTTTCCAATAAGGGTATAATGTGACATGCATAATCTAAGCACACACACACAAAAAAAAAGTTTAAAGTATAGAAAAATCTTATGCAAGTGTATGGTTTAGCACAAGTTTCATGCATTTTTCAAAGTTCATCGCTTTTTAGTCCTACCTACAATTGATTTCAACACATCCAAATTCATTAAAGTCATTCAAAATTAAAAAAACATTTCATGCAAACTTTCAGCAATCTAATTGCTTCAACAATGTTAAGTATGCACAATTAATCAAAAGCATGAAGGTTCATACATACACAAAAAAAGGATTAATCCTTACATATACTAAATAACAGTAAAATATTATAAATTTACAAAATGAATATTCTTAGAATTATTAAGACATGCTATATATCCTCAAAGTTTTTTCAGATAATGCAGCAAGCCATAACTTATCATTGCACACTACAGCACAAATGTCTTTCACAGGATCATATGCTTTTACTGTGGCAACTATCTGTCCAGATGTCACATTCCATACGTTTATAGTGCTCCGACTTTCTATGTAAGCAGATACAAACATATCATTCTGAACTTTTGTCAGGCAGGGCCGAGATAACTGCATCTGAGCAGTCCCTGCCAAAAAACTGTGGACTACATTGCAGGTAATAGCACTACCTTCCTGTTCAAGTTGGCATACCATGTGGCAAGTGTTAGGATTTCGTGCATTTGGCCTTTTTGATATCAAGATATGATCCGTTTCTTTTTCATAGCACAAAGACGTGAAGGGACCCTCTAAAGGCAATTGCTGTCCATGGTACTGATCCCCAACACTGTTTTGCGAGAATGCCCAACAAGAAACAAGTTTAGAAACAAGAATACCACCTTGGGGCATAACTCTCCCAGCACAATAAGGTAGTGAAACTACAGATGTAACGGGAGACAAATCCCCAGGAAATGCAAGGAGCTGAAGAGGGGAATTAGGTTGTCGTGAATCAAACTGAAACACATTTCCATTCTGGCTGCCCACAAAAAACCTGTTCAGATTGTTGCAGTCCCAACAGCAACTCCACAATGGATTGTTAGTATTGAATTTGTTCACCACACTATTGTTGGATAAATCCATTAGTTTAGCAGTTTTGTCTAAAGACACACTCAACAGCAAGTCTTTACTTTGGGGACGAACAGCAAGATCACGAATTGCTTTTGTATGAAGGAAGACACACTGTCCAAACACAGGTCTACCATCTTGTAGACTTACCTTTCTCACACTAAAGCCAGGAAATAAATTATTAGTTGAGCTATGAGAAATATATAATTCATGCATCAGTGAATTCCAGGTTAAAACACGGCATCCACCAGCATTACTTATTTCAAGAGTGCTTTCTAGAACCATACGAGAAACTGTTGACTGAGATATGGGTTGTGAGCTCTGAGTTGTTTGAGAAGTTAGAGATTTCTCTAAACTTTGCACTTTGTTCAAAGTTTTCTTAAGTTCTTCTTGTTGCAATTTGTTATTCAAGTTAACTCTAGCAATTTCAGTTTCTAAACGTGCTTTTTCTTGTTTAAGGATGTTCAGTTCTTCTTGTAACTTCTCATATTCTGATGTATCAAGTGCTTGCAGGTTTTGGGCGTATAATGTCCTAATGTCTTTCTTGTGAGCTTTTTTGTTGCATTGGGGGCATCGTCGTTGACCAGATGGGCACCCAATTTCTAACCATCTAATGATGCAGCTATTTCCAAACAAATGCCCACATTTAAGACAAACTAAGCGGTGATCACCAGCATTTGTCCATTTATCCATGCATATTGGACATACATTTTTAGAGGCATCATCATCATCGTCATCATCAGAGTCTGTATCACGACTCCGTTTGCCAGCTATAAATAAAACAAAAGTTTCATTACAACTTGAAAACAGCCTTTCATAAAATAACAAAAAAACAAAAGTAATCATACATTTACTCTGTGATGGTTGAATGACTTCACTTTTTTCTTCTGGCACATTTTGATTCTCTTCAACAGGAGCCTACATTTAGAAATTATTTCAAATTTAGAAGTATTCTTTTTCATAAGAGAATTACAATACTTAATTACACTTTACCTGTTCAAGGGCATCATCATTGGGTTCAGCATTTTCATTATTGGGAACCTCATTTTGAAAGATTTCATTTGGATTATCAGCAGCTTCAGCAGATCTCTCGTCAACATTTTGAGCGAGGTCAGCGTGCAATATGTTTGATTGATTTGGGTGTTCAATAGGAATTACTTCAATTTCATCAGAATCGGAACCAAATCCTGCACATTTAATCGTTAGAACCATTTTCATATACAAAATACAAAAACGTAATTAGGGATGTTGTTACCTTCAATGGTAGAGTCTGAATAACTACCTTCAAACACATCAATTTCCATTGTATTATTAATTTCAGAAAACGATACACTTTTGAATGATGATGTAAGGACACTAAAGCGGTAAGGTAAAAGTTTTAGGGAACACTCGCGAATTTTAAGACACTTAGGCGAATGGTGCAACTACATTTCTCATTTTTTATGCGTTGTGATATCACTAATGCTCGTTGTAATAAGTTGCGCAAATCATATTTATGTCAACTCGAATTCCCGCAGAATTAACCTTGAATTGCCACGAATCTTTCGTCACTTTTATGTCTTCCTTGAAAATATCATATCAACCCGCGAACACGGAATTCAGACCAGAGTGAATACACGAAATAAACATTCATAAATATTCTCTGGTTTGCGGTAAAGGGCCTGACAGTTGGCCAACCAACAATATTCCCTATTCTAGAATGAAATATCCCAACTTGAGTAAAAACAAAAGTAATTTTGTAAATTGATTAAAATATAATAGCTTAACAATTGAGGTGAAAAACAATATATCTTTCAGTTTCTTTGACTATTCCGAATTATCATTAATCTGGAAAATATAACGAAAAGTGTAGTGGCATGTTGATGTAAAACGATTGTGATTGTCTAAAACTATAGACGAGTTTTAATAAAATAAGGTTCCACGTTATCGTTTTCAATGCGTCTTGTATATTTATATTTCATTCTTATTTGCTATGAAATAACAATTTAGGTTGTGCCTTTTAGGCGTGAAAGACCGACTTTTTGCTCTGTTGCTTCCTAATAATATTCTTCGTACTGTTAAAATGGCGAGGTGGTATTTCGGCTTCCGGGTTCGCTATCACATGTGACGAGATTGTATTATTGCGGAGTGCATTTGCGGCTGCTGTAAGTTGTTCCAGAGAGAATTGCATTAATCGTGATTGCGACGTACCTGAAGCGTCCAATTATTGTGTTTGTGGAATGAATACGCACTTTTTAATGGTTGATTCGCTAATGAATCGTATGACGTAAACACCTGACATGGACGTTTAGGAGGCAATGGGGTGATGCACTTCGCTAGATTTGTTATTTAGAGAGGATTATGTTCTCGAATGTTGTGCAGGCGCAGTTGTTCCATTTTGTAAAAAAATATGTTTCGTGTCCGCTGTATTTAACATACGTGCCACACCCTCGTATTTTAGGTTACATCGCACCATTTATTCTCTATCGTTAACATTATCCATTACTCAATTATTTAATACATCTTTTCAGTTAATGTATTGGTCGACTTGCTTTTCTTTTAATTTCGTTTACCCGTTTATGTATTTAATTTGAACCTGAAATATTTCGCCTATTTTGTGATAGTTATCAGACGTGCAGTTTATTCGTTTGTGTTGTAGCTAATTTCGTGCGTGGGAGGTCAAATGTTTTGACGAGGGGGTTTGACTTATAAAAGTAGGTCAGTTCTTTTGCTTTTTCAACATTTTAATTTTTAATTTTTTCTCTACAGAAAATAGGATTTGCATTTCTACTGAGAAGGAGGACTTGCACGATTCATTGACAGGTATGTGTTATGTTTATTTAAATGTAACACTGTAGTATTTTTAGTTGCACCAAAGTGTATGTAATTTATAACAAAGCTCTTACATTTTATACTTTGTTTTACTCCAAATGGAAAAAAAGAGACTGAGGGTTGAAGTAGCTTCATGCAGTTTGTTCATAATGTTTTGAGTAGTGTTGTTTATTTTAATATTCATTTAAAATAATATTTTGCCCCCCTTTATGGTAACTGCTGTTTGCTTTTGTGGTAGGACAGCCAATTTTAATGGAGTTAAGAAAATATGGTGTTTTTATGTTTTGTTTAATGCAAGTATTTTCTGTTAATACTTTTGTTAATTCATTTAAGTTTGTTATAATAGTGATTTGTTGAAATTTACATTTGCTTGCCATTATTCTACTTCAGAGGAGTGCAAGAAGACTTGGGTTGTTTTTGTTAGAATTCTCTCAACCTATTGTTGCTATTAAAACTCATTATTATTATTATTATTGTTGTTGTTGTTGTTGTTGTTGTTGTTGTTGAAGATTGCAAATATTCATGCTTATACTTTTATTTCAAATGCTAAAGGCCTAAACCCATGAATTTTCATCCTATTACTATTGTTACCTGTTTTACGGTAATTCTGTGTTTCGGTAAATTTGGCCCTTCTAAATATAACCTGGGTGACTTCCAAACCTTCCACAAACTGCCGTCTTCTGGGCAGACTGAAAACTAGTTGGCAGAGTGCCAGAAGGAAGAGTTTTTAGCATGCAGTGTGTTTCACCGGTCTTTTTATTTGAGATATAATACTGTTGCAACTTGCGGATCTATTGTCTGCTTATTTGAAGTATTTAATCAAGAAAAAATTTTTAACACACAATTAATTGTAAGACTTTTTGAATTCTTTGTCAGGGTTTTGTAGATTTTGTATATAACTGAAGACTATTTGAAGAAATTTGTATTTTATGGATTTTAGCTTCAAGTAAATTGCACTGAAATGTATTTCCATTTCTGTGTAGTTGTGTTATTTTTAGTTTGGCCTGGAATATGTAGCAACTTATAAATAGTGATGTGTGGGAGTGTGTGTAATTCAAGTAACATAACAGTTCTCTGCTCAAGAAAAGGAGTGTTTAATTTCATATAGTGTTTTCATTGAAAACTTCAAGAAATTTTGATTTGGATATTCTTCATTAATTCTGGTGATGTGTCTTCAGGGGATGGTGTGCGTTTCAGAAGAAGGAAGTGCATTGTGCATTGTCCATGATGTGACATCATCTGGACTCAGAACTGGCACCCAGAAGAAAATCACTCTTTCATTACCACCCTCTACAACAGTCCAGGAACTTTTTCAAGAAGTGTGTTTGAAATGGCAATATGACCCAGATACTTTTGAACTTGTTCTACAACGATCTTCAAGTGGGGAAACGGTATGTAGTGTTATATTTGTTTTTGCCTCCACTAAATCTTACTTTTTTCTTTCTAATAATTCATAATTATATCTTATTTTTTAACTGACATTACTTTGATCTGATACTGAAATGTGTATCAGTTAAGAATAGTTTTCTGCATGTACGGTAATATTGCTGTACACTAGTGTACATAGCATTAGTGTGAATGGGTAAAAGAAATAGCTTGTTTTTGAGACAACTGGACATTAAAATTAAATAATTATTTTATAAGTAAGTTCTTGTTCAAATTTATTCAGAGAATTTCTACTTAATATACATTTGTTTTTTCTTTTACTGGTGTAATATAATTTATTATTTCTACATCTTGTTAAAAATCTACAAGCATGTAGCTATTAGTATGTCACATTTCCTATTGTTTCTGCAGTATTTGGCAATATGCCACAAAAAAAGGACTTCTGTTAGACATCAGGAAGTGTGCAGGTTGTTCACCTTGTAGAAAGAGGAGGAGTTGTCTGTAGCCAATTGATGTATTACTAATTATAGGTAAAGCAAAGCTGCTGTTTTTAGTTTAGAATTTGATTTTTCTCTACTTTTGGTGGACAATGTACTTATTTCTAGAAGAAGTTATATTGTTCATTGTTATGAAATAAGTAGTCTTCTTTGTTTTGTTTCAGGTTGCTCTCAATAATTTGAAAGAACAAACTATCCAAGACGTGGGAGTAACATTTGAACCTGGCAGTCGTAATATGCTACATGTGTTTGACATGCACTGCCAACCAGTACGTAGACAGACAGCTTCCACAGTGACTGGAGATACTCCTGATGATGATATGTTGTTGGGGACATCAGCAAGCCCCACTGCAGGTGGTGATTACACGCACCCACCCCCAGCACCACCTCCACCCCCACCGATTGTCAGTACAGGGGACTACACATACACACCTGCACTCATTAAACATGACAGAGGTAAGTTATGGGTATATTTTTAAGTTTTATTCTCAGTTTGGCATTGCTGCCTGTTACAGGTGTTGGCATATACATGGTACTTGACTTGGACTTTCTGAACTATTGCCTTGTGTCTAATATCTTGTGTGTAGGGGTAGGGATTAAGGTTTTTCATTTTGCTTCTTCTCTCTTTCTCTCATTATTTTACGTTACTCCTCATGTTTTTACTTTATCTCCTTAAATTACTTTATTTTGGAGTGGAATGTTTTGATATTTTCATGACAATTGATACACTGCCATCTGTTGGGAAGTGCAGCTGATATGTTAAGAAAATATTTGTCCACTATCACATCTATTAAAGGATAACATCTAGGAGTGTACTTAATTCCTTTGATTTTTTCTTATGTGTGTGGTGAGGGTTTCAGAAATTGAAGTATATATGAAAAGTCTATATTTTTCATTCAAATTTTCTTTCAATAACATACATGATAAAATGTTATTTTAGTATTCTAGGATAAATGTCCAACCTAAAGAAATTTTGAACATGGCATAAATATTTTGTCAAAAATAATTGCTAGATAACTACAGTAACAGCAGTGTATAAGTGACTCTGACAATTTTCAGTGCTGTGGTATGTCATGTGACCTGTTCTGAAGCGATCAGATCAGATTTGCAAGGATTTTTTTACTTTATTACAGACAGGATTCAATGTTGCCACTCATCTGACTGGCAAGAAGTTGTGATGGTGTTAAAGGTTTGGCTTTGGTGAAAGTTATGAACGTGGTATTAAGACAGTTCATAGCCCGTCAGTAATGTTTTCAGATGTAATTTATCTGTGATGTAGGTGGTGCCTTGTGCATAGTAATGTGTGGCAACAGTCCATTGAACTGTCAGAGTTGCTTACAAGCTGCCAGTACTGTAGTGACAGTGTTCTGATAATTTGTGGGGTAACAAAAAGTATTTTAATTGAGCTGCGAATATGATATTCACGTATCATGAGTTTGGTTTAATTTCAAAACTGATTTGCCAATAAATCTGAATCTATCATCATTAAACATTTTTAAATTATTAACTTGTGTTCTTGTTTTTTTTGTAACGTGTACGAAAGTATATTCAATAAACCAAATGATATCCATGTTTAAAACTTAAAAGGCCATACTGCTCTTAAGAAAAGTATGCACTTGAATAAGAAATCCATTTTTATATTTGGAAAGTAATAATGGGAAAATTGGCATCATTACGGAAGATGTACTACTTCACATAAATTATTTTCAGAGGCATTTAGTTCAATCATTATAAAATCTGAAGTAATGTGGTTAGAATTTACTTAAATTTTCTGAAAGTAAGGCTTGCTCTGTACCTGATCGTATGATGTAAATTAATTTGGATGTTTCTAGAGTTCTGCTCTTGATTATGATGTCAATATCTGTGTGTTGATTTTTGTTTCAAATCTAGTTATGTACGGAAAATGTATTTTTTTTCTGACATGAAGATTAACATAAGCAAGATTTGATTTTGTTTTTGCAGTTGATTATGTTGGTTTAGTGAATCAAGCAATGACTTGCTACTTGAATAGCTTGTTGCAAGCTTTGTATATGACACCAGAATTTAGAAATGCCCTCTACAAGTGGGAATATTCTGGCTCGGACAAAGATGAAGTGAAATCAATTCCATATCAGCTGCAAAAATTGTTCCTCAATTTGCAGGTATTTACAAGATCCTACAATTTACAGATATAGTGAATATTGAAGTGCTATGTTAATCATATAGTTTTGTTATTATGCTGTTCAATTTTTTTAAAACTGCTTTAGTAGTAGTTTGTGTGTAGGGTATATTTCTTGTGCTCCAAATATTTCTGTATTATTAATAAATCCTCCTTCAAGTTACAAATAGCTTTTTTAATTTTTATAGCATTTTCTCTCTTAAAGTAGGGGAATTTAAATGGTGAATGAGATGAAACTTTATTGGTTGGGTCTTTTTCAGTTATATTCATTTTATATTCAAGCGATATTTATTTTTTTTCTTCCAGACATCATCAAAATCGGCAGTAGAAACAACTGATTTAACACGCAGTTTTGGTTGGGACTCAAGTGAAGCTTGGCAGCAACATGATATTCAGGAGTTGTGCAGAGTGATGTTTGATGCTTTGGAACAAACTTTTAAGGATACCGAACAAGCTGATCTAATTTCCAGACTTTATGAAGGTAACATAGAATTATAGATCTGGTGTAATTGTACGGTAAATTTATATGAGTTTTGCAAGAATGTTTGAATCCTACAGGAAAAATGATTGATTATGTAAAATGTTTGGATTGTGGAACTGAGAAGTCTCGAGAAGATACATTTCTTGACATTCCACTGCCTGTACGCCCATTTGGAAGTACTGTTGCATATGGAAGTGTAGTAAGTAATATATAATATATAATGTGATAAAATTAAATTAACTATTAACTTTATTATTTTAAAATGTTTATTATCTGATACTAATTAAATATTGAATTAGTGTTAAAAAAAAAAAAAAATTGGGGGCAAGTTTGATGCATGTGTCTGTACTTGGTAAGTAAAAGGACCTAATGCTGAAAGAAGTACAGGGAGAGAAGTTATTGTCAAAAGTTGTGTTCATTCCATCTGTGGATACAATAATTGTAGGTTGAAGAAGATAATACAGTACAAATGAAGGAAGTTGTGTTCTCACTACTCTGGTATGAAGGAAATTGATGGTGAAAGGCTCAAGGGGAAGTTCAGGGATTTCCAGAGGAATTTTTTGATGCTCAGGGTAGTGTTGTATCTGCTATGTTCTGTACGTTTATTAAGTAGCATTATGGAAATTTTAAACAGGTGTTTATTCAGTGAAATGTAGCAAAACAATAAGATGGATGTAATGGGATTTCATGGAAGTGATGGGAGAGAGTGCTTTCCTGAAGCCAGTGAATTGCCACAAAATGACTTAATGACTTGTTTTCCTATAATAATTTTCACATAAAATAGAATAGGTAATTATGAGTTGCACAGATTCGGAGGGCTAATCGCAAGGACTGAAGGTCTGAGTAGGGTCCTAAACTTGGAAATACATAGTAAAGTATTAACTAGGTTGTTTCTGTGATTTGGCATAAGTGCAAGGCAAATTGTGTGTGAAGTGAGCCAAAATATGCCATTTTTTAAGAAATCCCCATCCCATCTCTCAATACCCCTTTCCTCCATCATCCCTAATCACACTTTTGTAAGAGGAGATTGATCATTATACTGTATCCAAATTGTATATCATCGAAGATTTGGTCTTTTTTTTCTGAAATCTCTCGTACTAGTAGAAATGGACAAATACCTTTTTTCTTCCCTTGTTCAGATATTATAAACAACTCAACTAGTCTGCAACATTTACCATTCTTGAATGAACTTACACTAATCTAAGTATCTTTTTTCTTACTAGAAGAAAAATTAGTTAATATCAATGCCCTTGCTTTTCTTGAATATTTGCAGGAAGAAGCATTAAGGGCCTTTGTTCAACCAGAGACCCTTGATGGTAACAACCAGTACTTCTGTGAAAAGTGCAATAAGAAATGTGATGCCCATAAAGGATTGAAATTCTCAAAGTTTCCATATCTTCTCACCTTACATCTCAAACGATTTGACTTTGATTACACCACCTTGCACAGAATTAAACTGAATGACAAGTGAGTTTCTTTTGATGATAATTGGTTTACTTAGCTGTGCTATTTGAAGGTAAATTATATGTTGCTTAATTTTCCAGGGTTACATTTCCAGAAATTTTAAATTTAAATAGCTTTGTAGTACAGCCAGGCTCTAAAGATGAAAATGAACCTGTTCAGGAAGAAACGGTTATGAAATGTGATGACAGTAGCACCACCGATAGTGGATCTGCCCTGGATGATGAGAGTTGCCATGGAACTGAAACTGCTCTTAGTACTCAAGAGACTGACTGCCAGGTTGGTGAGGGAGGGGTGGGAGGAGTTTCGAGAGATTTGTGCTAGTGGTCAATGGAAATACCCAAATGCATTTGAGGGAGCATTGCTTGGAAATGATTTTTTAGTGAATGAAGTTTACTTAGCATTTGATTTTTTAGATTTTTCTAATCAGCTCCTCTGCTTGGTTGGACATTGTAGAAATTTAATTTTTTGAAAATAATAGTCTTAATCATCTAGAAATAGTACATTGTTTAAAATTCTTCTTATAATTAGAGAAATTAATATTTTATTTTAAATCGTGATATATGAAGTTACATTTTGTGATCTGTTTTAAGTAGTAAAATTCTAAATGATGGATAAATTTTAACTACAGATTTATCTACAAAATTCTGTTTTGTGATGTCACATGAAAGATAGCTTGATCTTCTAATTCCAATGACACATATCAAAGAAATTAATTGGAAATTTGTTAAAATGATGGAAATTCGTCACATTTTCATTAGCTTATAATGGAAAGTTTGCAATATTTGAGTATTATGTTGATATTTTAAAATTTGATATGATAAATTCGATTGTAAGGTAAAGTTTTGATATTGTTTTGAGTGAGTAATATTCTTAAATTGTACCCAGGATAAAGGATGGTATAAAGCGAAATAAATCTTTGATGGATTTTGATGTGTTTCTGTAACAGCAATAACTAATCATTTTTTCATAATTAAAATTATTTTGTTTGTACTGTTCCCTTGTATGTACAAAATTAATGTAGATAACAGTAAATATGAATAAATTAAATTAAAATTTTTTGGATTACTACAATATTGGTTAGGTGTAGAGTTAAAAGAAACCTTCAGTTATGCGATGTTCGGATGCCTCTTCCAGCCTCCCCCTTTTCTTTTTGTTTTCTTTCTTTTTCTTCCCCCTTCCTTTCTTTTCCTTTTTGTCCTTTTCTTCTCTTTTTCTTTTCCTTTTTGTCCTTTTCTTCTCTTTTTCTTTTCTTTTTTTCTGTTGCTCTTTCTCTTCTTTCTTTTTTCTTCCTTTTTTTCCTTTTTCTTTTTCTCCCCACTAGTGAATGCACAATTTTGTTTAATTTTTCAGGAGGATGATGAAGGAATTGATATGAGTAATCATGAAAATGAGAAAAATAGAAGGCACACAATGGATAAGGGTCCTTACACATACGAACTCTTCTCAATCATGATTCATTCAGGGAGTGCATCTGGTGGACACTATTATGCTTATATTAAAGATTTTCGAAGAGGAGAATGGTTTTGTTTCAATGACCAATCTGTCAGTCGGGTAAGTGTTCTGGGGGTGTAATGAATGGTAGGTAGTTAAAATGTTTGAGTTATTGGTTGTTTTTTAAATGAAATGCTGAATATTTAATTAATTTTTTCAGATCACCAATGATGATATAATGAAAACATATGGTGGAGGTACTGTTAGAGGTTATTACTCAGGTGCCTACAGTTCGAGTACAAATGCCTATATGCTAATGTATAGGCAAGTAGATAAGCAGAGGAACTGTGAAGCTATGACTGGAGAAGAATTTCCATCTCACATTAAGGTATTGTGATTTACTTGAGTTATTGTACCTGATGATTATCACAAAATCTTTCACGTTTAATTTTCTTAGCTCATTTTTTGCCAATGTATTTTTTGGGATAGTCAGCTTTAATGATAATTTTGTAGTAGAATGGTTTTAGATGTCATTTATTCATTATAAATAAACTGTGGATTTTTGCCTGTTTGACAATTTTTTCTTTCAATGGAAAACGCAATCTTCTGTATGTTCAGAATGCGATTATCCTTAACCAAAAACTTTAAAAAAGTAAATTTTTGTTTTTATCTTCAAAGTACAGAGAAATCGATCTATCAATAAATCTGCGTTCTGTTTTACTGCCATGACAGTGCAGGTCCACCAGTATTATGAAATATGTGCAAAATCACTGGTAGTGGTTATTTTTTGCTTCAAATTTAAATAAATAAAATTTCTTAAAACTGCTTCAAATTTTTCCTAAAACTTTCTCTTCATATTTATCAAAGAACTGTATAAAAATTGGTACCGGTCCCATTTTTTGTGAACTCTCTGCATGTTTGAAAATTTCAAAAAGGTAACATCGCAACAATTACGGAATGCAGTAATTTTTGTTTTAAATTAAATCTATTTTATTAAGTCAGATATAAAAAAGGTTATAATTTTGTTTAACTTTTTTAAATTCGAATTTCTGCTTGAAATATTCATATTTATTATTATTATTATTGTTATTATTTTGAAGAAATAATGTGAGAAGTGGTGGCGTGGTGATTGAAAAAATCATACAATATTTTCAATTACGTTTAAATCAATGCAGAGAAAAAAATCATGTGTGCAGCAATTAAGTGCTTGCATTTAATGAAAAGCTGAAATGTAGTTACTGAGACACAACCTTTTTTTGTTCTCGAAACGTGCTAACCAAGTACATGAATAAGGACAAGAAAAATTTATAGCACTAATTTAAATATCTATTTTACGTTTTTAAATGCCTATTTTGCCTTCCTGTTTCTTCAGTTTTTTGTGCCTGTAAATCCGCAGCTTAATTATAATATAATTATTTTGTGCTAATCTCAAGTAGTTTTGAATGATATTTCAAAAGGAATTGTATGAAATGCAGATATATATTTGATAGTGATATGTTTTGAATTATTAGTATATTATTTTTTAGAAACTACTCCAAAAGATTCAAGAAAGAGAAGAAACAGACAGAATGTTGCGTGAGAAGGAAATGGATATGGTGAAAATAAAAATTTACTGTCATCATCCTTCACAAAATACTATTTCTGAAGTAAAGTTAACATTTCACAATTTGGATACTCTTAAAAGTACCACAGAAAGTGCATATAAGGTAATTTTAGTTCCATTTTATATTATTTTTACTTGTATATCTAAAACAAAATTCAGGAAGATGTTTAATTACCATATGTTGAATTTCTTTGTATTTAGGCTTTAAAATTGGAAGGTGTGATTCCTTTGGAAAGATGTCGCCTCGTGAAATATGATCGTGTACAAGACAATATTGAAAGAAGCTTTGAAGGCCAAGATGATGACCCAATAGGAGAAATTGTTTCATGTGATAGAATTGGAGAAATTGTTTCCAATGGTAAACTGGATATGCTTTTAGAAATTAGAAGAGAAGACGCAGAGTTTGAAGTGTATGTTCCAGGAGGTATGGAAATCAAATTCATGTGGTTCTTTTGTATTTTGGTTTTGAAATAGTTCTGCTAAAGTATGAAATGTTCCAGGAGTTCCGACAAAAGTTTTTGTAGTTGATGTGGAAACAGAAGAGGTGGAAGGTCCCTTTGATGTGAGAGGAAATCTTTCTCAGACTGTTCGAGAATTCAAACTCACATTGGGAAAAGCCCTTAAACTTGATCCGGAGAAAATCAAAGTTGTAATTGAAAAATACAGCAATGAACCAAAATTGTTAGAAGACTGTGAAAGAACATTGAAAATGGAGGGCTTCTATGCACAAATTAAGGTAGAAAAAATTGTTTTTGAATATCCATTTCCCATCATGTAAATAAAATGTTGTGGACTGTTATTGAATGTTTCATCTTCAACCAAACATAACTGGTTAAAGAAGTCTGTCTAATTATATACAATTTGCTTACATTGAATGTAGAGAAAGACTTGGATTTTAATTGTCTCTAGATAAACAATCATGAAGGATACCATTATTCAGAAATTCAAAATTTAGCATTGTTTTGTTGATGAGTTCTTTATTATGTTCATAGGAACACAATTCCTATTATCTAAATTTTGAATCAATAAATACTGTGATGCTTCTGTATTTGATAACCATTTGCATATTTTTAAATAATATGAGGGGGCAAAGGAAACTAATTATTTTATAATGTGCTCTCACATCTGACTTTCCATTTTGATTTTTTGAAATTATGGCTCCTTTATAGAAAGAAAGAAATTATAATATATAAATTGAATTATAAAAGAGTTCAATAATGTGTATGTTAATAATCCAGTATAAATTGGATTCTTCCATGTTTGTAAATATTAACTAGTGACTAACAGGTGACATCAAAGAAATTATATTACGGGAAACTTGGAAAAAAAACTGGGTTTAAGCAATTTTTTTATGAGGGGCGAGGGATGAATATTATTTTTTAAATTGGATTGTTTAGTGAAAGTGCTTCAGATTATTTTTAATGAAGTTTCAAGAAACTCACAAGTTTTTTGTGAATATGAGCTCAAGACTGCACATTTTTGGATACAATCAAACATCATTTTCTCCAAAAATGAAATGAAAATTTTCATCTAGGCTCGGGTTTGACTCTTTGGTATTATTTAAGGCATATTTCAAGTCAGTTCTTAAAGATCTGAAAAATTGAGAAAATGTGAAAAAATGTTCTGAGGATGGAACATAATAAAAAAGATTCTCCAGATTAAAGATATTAGAATACTAACTGGAATGAGAGAGTCTGTACCTTTCTGTAGCACCACTAGTTTATAATAGTTCAAAAATTTGCATCATTTTAATATTGTTACTTTATTTTTCTTAGGTGTTTGTGGCTACAAAAATAGATGAAGATCCAGAAAAACTTTTTATAGTATCTAAATTACACAAAATAATAGACAGATTTGAGCATATCATTACTCTACATATTATTCTTCCAGATACTGATAAAGGTGAGGTATTTTAACAAGAGTATTGATGTGTTTAGGATTTAAATTTTTAAATACTGTATGTTTTTTAACTTTTTTTTACTTTTGAGAGAAAGAAGGCAAGTGTACTGTTCTGGTCTTAGAAGGACTTGCCAGGTTAGATTACGTTTCTGAACATACCCTATTTACCCGAATTTAAGATAACCCGTATTTTATTACTATAAAGTAGTTTCCAGCAAATGCAATGAGGAAAAAGAATTACATCTATATTTGTATTATCTCTTAGTCAATACAAGGTTTGATACTTCAGATACGTGCAGAATTTCAAACTGCACTAGTAGATTTTTCTTCATTTGTGTAAAGAATCCCTGATTTTTGAGTATTTTGGAACAAAATAGGATCATATTGTGGGTAAATACGGTATGTTCAGTTTTAAAATATTGATGCAGACCTGTTTGAGTGAGGAATTCTATATAGCTGCTTACAGTTATTTAAAAAAATTACTATTTAAATAAATTATTTGAAAACAAAAATAACAACAAAGAAGGTAATTCATTGTGCAGAAAGTAAAAAATATGTCTAGACATCAGGTCCTTTTTCTAAAGAAATTAGATAGAACCATACATGATTGTTTAACCATAACTGGAATTGCTAAATATATGATAATGCTACACTTTTATTATAAATAAAAAAAATTGATTAAGAATTTGTGATTTAAATTTCTGTTCCTGAAATTTTATTGTTGACTTAAGAAAATGCTTGAAGAAAATTTGAAATTTTGATTAGACCAAATTCAGTAACAATTTCAACTACATTGTACAATCTAAAACTACAAATTCAACTATAATTAAGAAAGTGTGCACAATTTTTTTATGGTTACAGAGATACTTAAAAAATTAGGCATTCCCGCCTTATCTGTTGATGTGAACCACAATACAAGTGGAGTGTGTTGCAAGACCTTGGAGGAGACACCTGCAGATGATGTTACTCTGTTGAGCAGCGCTCTTTCTGCTGCAACGTGTTCCATGTCTGTGTCAGTGCCGTCTCCACAAGGACCTCCTGCACGAGACAATTCCCCTCAACCCCCCACTGACCCTGAAGATGAAGGAATTGGCGCTACAGGACACAGTGACCAAAGTGCAAGTGAGGACAGCAGTTTAACAGACAGTGACAGGTAAGATGAACGTATTGGAAATTTCTACAACAGTAATTTTTAAATTGGAAAACTGTTGATGTATGAAGGACAAAATGAAGAATAGTAATCACAAAGTTCTCAAAAGGATGTAATTGATTGTCCTGGTTGTGCCATTTTGGAGAGAAATAAATTATCTTTAAAATGTAGCTTTAGTTACCTTTCCTTTAATTACTACACTTGGTTGATTCATTTTTTGAAACACTTATGAAAGGGGTAAAAATTTGATTCTCATGTTATCAGAAATGTGAGATGTGCAGACGGTAAATCATATATGAAATTGAATGTTCTTTTTCTTTTTTGTGACAGAACTTTGGTTGGTGATGTACCAGATGAATGCCTTGCCCAAGTGTCAAGTCCAAGTAATTCACCTCCTGGTTCTGATCAACAAAACATTTCATCACCAGAAGAAGGAACAACAAATACATACCACTCATTCCAAACAGTGAGTACAATTGTAAAATTAATTTCATATTTTTGTATTTTATCATAAGTGCAAAGTTTAATTTAGTTTGGTTATTAAATCAATATGATTGTGTAGACTCAAATTCAATGAAAACGACATGAAGTTTTTGAGACAACCAAACAGCTGTTTCTCTTAGTTTGTTTTTTTATTGCTTCAAAAACCATTGGGTACTGTTTTCAGTGAAAATGTAGTATTCATGACTTCATATAGGATGTAAAACAAGCACCTTAACAAGAAAAAAAAGGCTTGAAGTGAATAAGGGTTTGAAAAAATTGAACTACTTTTATTTTGAGATAAGCATTTTGAACATACTTGCCTTAGTTGACAGTAATCATGGATAAGATCTGCAAAAATCAAATGTTTTACATGACTTCAAAATAATTGAATCAACTGCCATTTAGATCAACACAGCTTAGTTCAGGTAGACCAGCAGATAAAGTTAACATTTGGTAGTTAAAATTAGGTAGTCTGGCAGGCCCAGTTAAAAATTAGGTAGTCCGGCAGAACCCAGTTAAAATTAGGTAGTCTGGGTAGACCAGTTAAATTAGATATTGTCTGGCAAGACCCAGTTAAAATTAGATATTGTTGGCAGACTCCAGTTAAAATTAGATATTGTCTGGCAGACCCAGTTAAAATTAGATATTGTCTGGCAGACCAGTTAAATTAGATATTGTCTGGCAAGACCCAGTTTTAAAATTTGGTAGTCTGGCAGAGCAGTTAAAATGAAACATATACAAATTTGATTACCTACATGGACTTGCTTTGGGGTATTAGGGCAAAATTTATCAGTTCAGTTTGCCTGTTCAGTCTGCTGCCCAGGTTGTGAGATTACATTGTACACCACCTACTCTGCTCAAGATCTGGCATGGCCTTGTTTTATCTGCTCTTGCAAGCATGTGGCACTACCATGTTCCTTGGTGCATTGATGTTGATGAATGATATGCCTGTTTGGCAGTTTAAGTGAGGATGACTTCCTTCCATAGGTACTATTTTCTCTTGCTTCCCCAGGAGTGTCAATTATCACATGAAAAAAGGAAAGGCAAATATTCGCTCCTTAGTGTGATTAAGATAATTATCACACTTTTATAAATGCACAATTTTTAAAATCATTGCAAGTAATTTTTTTCAAGCTTTCACCTTGAAGATTACATATTTTTCCTCAAACTCCAAAAGTAATATTTTATAATGTTGGAAACATGGAGTCTTCCCTCCCTTCCCTCCTAAGAATCCATTATTCAATATTCTTTTATTAGTATGCAATTAACGATCTCAAATTCACTGAATGGGAAACTGTTAGTACACATGAGAAACATTAAGGGTTTTATAACACAATTTTCGAAAAGAAGACTATAAACATGAACAAATTTTCTTTCTTACGTATGTCAGTTCTCCTGAAGAGTCTCCATGTCACAAAGGCTACTTTCTCAACAACAGAGACTATTGAATGCTTACAGTCAGTACTGAAACATTCCAACAGTGTTCGAATCTTCTGTTTTTTTTATCCTTAGGTAGTCTACAACCATGTGTATTGGTTGTGCATATGACCTCAATAATGTCAATGATAGTTTATTTATTTATGTCAAATAACACATAAAAACTGTGTGTGCCGAGCTATGGAGAGAAGTTAATTTGAAGTTACATTTATTTGCATTACAATTTTGTGTATTACATCATGTTAGAAAGGTTTAGGTGCTTCACGATACAAGAGATCCTTTCAGAGGCCACTTGCAAAACATAAGTCAAGGGTTGCGAATTCCAGGTTATGTCATTCTTGGGGAAGTTAGTGTCTTAAGTATTTGTTACAGGCCTGGCCAAATCTGTCTGGTATGTTTCAATTCCTGAGCCCGATATGCTTTAAGATTACTGATTTTTTTTCCCCCAAAAGTACCATTAAACAGGCAGCTTTCATGATATTTTGATTCACAATGAATGATATAAAAGTAAAACATAATCATATTATGTCCTGTTTTTCAATTGAGATAATTTGTGTTACTAAAATTCTAGTAATTATTTACATTTTTTCTTTTTCTTTTCTTTTTTCAGGAACAATCAGAAAATTGGGATGATGAAGTTGATACAAATGAAGCTACAACCAGAGCTTTGAATCATTACTTTAAGGCAGTGCCATATTTGGAAAATGGCACTCAGAAAAGTAATTTTTTCTCTTAGAGTTCTATATTTATTAGTTACATTCATTGGTATAACAGAAATTTGTTTGATTTCTGCAATAACAATGTACTGTTTATTACGTGTTTAATATTTTATTATTATTTTGTTTTAACTTGAACTTCTTGTGCAGTATTTGTTCAGTGTAGTGATAATACATTAGTCTCTTGTCTTTACATCCAGTGCTGAAGGTATTGGTGGATAAAAGAATGTTACTAGGAACACTCAAAAATGATTTGGAACCATATGTTGGTGTTCCCCAAGAATACTTCAAAATATTCCGTATGTATCCTATGCAACAAGAATATGAGTGTGCACGTCTCAAGGATAGTCTGAGTTCTTATCGTGATGAGGAGAAGCTTACTGTAAAATTGGGGAGAGTACTGAGAAAGGGAGAACACAGAGGAAAAGTATCACAACTTCTTCCCAACTCTCCTGAGGTAGGTCCAAGTGATTTGTCTTTGTTATAAGCTTGATCTGAATTTACACAGATTACTTATTATGCATAAAATGTTTTATGAGCATTCATTAAAATGTTTCAGCCTTGTAAATTCCTCTTTGAATGGATTCTTAGTAAAGGAATGACGGTAGCAGAAGCCAAGAGAGACATTCTTGAAGAAGTTAAAAGAAAGTACAACATTGACATCCCCTTCGAAAGGTTTGTTGCAGTTTATGTTTGATTTTCAAATTCCTGTGTTATTGTCTTATTGTTAGGTGAAAATGTTTTTAGTGCTGATTAAATTATGCTTAAGAATATGTTTCTCATGTGACTAATTTTTTTAAGTGTTTGACCTGTCAATTTCAGATGTAGATTACGAAAGAAGAGTTGGAAAAATCCAACGAAAGTGTATTTAGATTCCCAGCGCTTTGAAGAAGACGATATCACACTTTTTCCTAATTGGGAAATGTTTCTACAAGAGTTACCTGGACCTGAACCTGTCACGGTTGGTTCACAGTTAGTCCTTTTTGTTCGTCGTTGGTGTCCTTCCACTTTTGAAGTGAAACCTTTTGAAGAAGTTCTGTTGGATGGATATACAGTAAAAGAATTCAAAGAGAAGGTAGGGAAAGCCTTCATACTTACTGCTTGGAACAAAATTGTTAAACTTAAAATGAAATTTTAGTCAGAGAAATGGAATGAATGTTCTTGAATCTTTCCCTCTGAATTATTTGGGAAATTCTCAGACCTTGCTATCATTGGGATAAAATGTTTGTTGGCATTGATCAAAAAAGTTCAGTTGGGTTTGATTGGTGGTATTGATTTAGTTTTGTTCCATGGAATGGTTCCATCAATTGGATCTTGTACAAATGAAGAGGGGATAATATTGTTCTGTCCTTTTCAGTTGGCAGCTCTCAGTGATATTCCAGAAGCAAATTTGGAATTTGCAAAAGGGCAGAGTTCGTTTCCCTGTGACATGTCTGTTCTTAGTATCCATTCAGATTTAGAATGGAATCCTCCCACTGACAAATTGGATGTTTGGCCTCTCAACATTTATGAAGATGGTCATGTTTTCTTCTACAGGTACATTTCTTAATTATGTCTTTTCTGTAAATGTAGAATAATTGAAAGGGTATAGAGAGACTGCTGATGTAACAGTTGTTTACAAATTACAGAGATCTCTTGTTTTGCCTACATTTTTTTTTTACAATTAGCCAATATGAGCTAATATATTACGAATATTCGGTATATGATAAAAATGATTGCCTATTTATTTAAATATTAAATTAAACCCAAATTTATTGTATATTGTTTCAAAGAGATAAAATGTATACTTTGTGGATGAATAATGATGTAAGTTACAATTGGGATGTTTGGCGCAAGTGGGGGCAACCCATTTGAGTAAATGTTGGGAATGTGAGGAAAAGCATATCAAATGGTCTACCTTATTAATTACTGTAGCGCACAGCGTTGATATTTGGAGCTGTCTCCTTTTGGCTCCAATATATGGAAGCTTTTATTGTGTTGCAAAGAAAATGTTACACAAGAGGTTGGTTGAAATTTCTTATTATTGCAAAAAATAGGAATATAGTGAACATTTTTTCAATAATAACTCTGCGAATATGATATTTTATTTCAGTTACAAGAATAAACATTAATATTCACCTCAAAAATATTCCTACAGCTTGTGAATCCCCTCCTCATGCTACACTGAGGCATCACTGTGTCAGTATCCTCTTGCCATCTGTCATGTCGTTCGATTGTTGAAGCATTATAGAACCACATTCTGTGGTCCCTCATCTTTCAATTTGGCACTCTTAAAACAATATGGGTTTTGAATAGCAAATACTACAGTTAATCACAACTGGTTTTGAATCTCGAAATTTACTTTGTTTATTTCCTAAGGAATTCTCTTAAATATGGGCCTAAATCTCTGCAAAATTGCAAATGATAAATTCATGTTTTCTTCAACTACTCAAAACTGTCTGTTCTTTTTTCTTTATTATAGTTGTTTGACTGATAAAACCAAATCTACTGCTCTGAGCTGCCTCATTAGTATACACCGGACAAAAGTATTTTTTTCTCATGCCACATTGTATGTTTCTTCTAACTCAATAGTCACATTCAAACAAATTAAGGCTTCTGTAATTTCCGCAAATATTGTCACTTCCAGAGAAAAAATAGAAGGAACAGTTGCAAATTATAGAATGTGAACTACAGATTTTAGTAGCAAGATCAGAGTGATCTATCATGTTTCCTTCCTTTTGTTTTGTACATGAAAAGTCAACTTTCTTGTTTAGTAATGTCACTGTAACAGAAAAAATAAATTTGGAAGTAAATGAAGTTCATCAAAATGAATATCTGTATATTTTTTAAAACATTGCCTTCGTGGTTTGAGTTACAATTATATGAGTTAAATTATGTGTAGAATCTTCTATAATTTTTGTTTTTGTATAAAATGGGTAACCTATTTCCATGATCAATGAATACGTTGTGTAATTTGATCTCTGATGTTGTATATATAGTTTATGTAATGTAATGTATTGTCTTGATCACTGTCGGGAGTGTAATGAAATGAGTGCAAGTCTTTTATCTTACATAAGTAGTACAAGTACCTTAAATAATAAAATTAGGCCCTCTTTTATCCGGGCTCACCTGCCTTGCGGGCCCAAACGTTAAGCCACTGATCTGTCGCATCTGTAAATGGTGACTGGAATAGTCTTCAAATTTATAAGTTCAGAAGAGTATTCCACAATATTTCCATTGAAACCTCGGATTTAAAAAAAAGGTTTTACAAATATGATTTACTAATAATATAATATAATATACACAATATTATTCAAATACTCAGTTCCTGTGTGATTAGTACATGTATATACATACTACAATTTCGTGGAAGATAACTTATTTTTCACCTCCACTTCAAATGTTGTGTATTTTTTTCTTAATAGTAGTGAGAAATACTGATGTTGATATGTAAAAATTGAATGATATAATGGAAAGAAGAAAGTAGGAATTGCAGCTTTTCACTTATCCCTAAGTGGTAGCTTCTCTTTAAGTTAACCATTCACCTTTTTATCTTAATTCTTACATTTAATTTTTTTATTTTGGTAATTTGTATGCAAAAATTAGTTTATATGAGCATTCAATTTTTATTTTGGACATAGCTTTTGCCAGTTAATGATAGAGTAACTTGTGATTCAAACAATGAAAATAGCTGATATCGATGATCTTTATTTTGTTTTGGTGATTTATCCTTGTGCTCTTGAGTCTGCAAGGAGCAGGGGCATGGAGGAGGGGACTTGCTTACTTCATAGTCTCAGAGAGTTCATAGAGAAAATAGCAACTGCGAAATAAAAATGTGGTGCTTAATTTCGAAGGCAAATTGTATCTGTTACTTCAATGAAACTTTCATATGACAAGAATCGCTCTTTTCCATGTTAGTGTTATTAGAGCTGTTGTTACAGGGTCTTTCAAGCTCAAGACATGTATTTATGGCACAATTTTGCTTTGCTTGTTTAATTTTGTCTTTCTATGCTGCCTGTCCTGCAGTTCTTGTCCAAGACATATATTGAACTTTCTGTGATTGATAGGTTTTTCTCTTGTGAGGAATTGAGACCTTAGAATTCACTTTCCAGATAAAATATGTTGATGGCTAAAGATATTGTGGCTTGTAGATTCAAATTTGCGTACTTTTCTCATGTTAATAAAAGCTTTATTCTATATTTGATATGCTTTATGTTTCAGAGATAACAGAGAACAATTGAAGCAGCTAACACCTGAAGAAAGGAAGGAAATAGCAAATAAAGAAGGTTCCCGTGTTAATAAACTTAGTACAGTGTCGACCTATTCTCCTCGGAAGGAAAGGGCACTTAAAATATACTTGGATCCAGCACCAAGAAAATGTGAGGAACCTGATCTTGATTGAAATTTGGTCATATTTTCACACATTGAATTGACTCTTTGTAAAATGAATATTGTATACTGTAATTCTATAGAGCTGATGTTCTGTATGAGAGGAATTCTGTTGTGTACACGCTAGTGAGTTGCTAGATGACTAAAAGTGGACAGATTCACCTGGTGAAGTCGCTAACCTTCACACATGCTGTGTTAAAAATTGTGTGACTTCTTGTTTTGGTATAAAAAGTGAAGGATCCTCTCGACCTGCTTGCCTAATGAGTTTAAATGGACAATTTGATTTCAGTAGTTTCCAGCAATATGTGAATTTGCATTGGATTACTTGTTTTGTGTTGTCTTAAATTTTTGTGAAATTGAAATTACATTTGTAGATATTTTTTATTTCAGAGGAATTGGTAAGATTATTGTACAAATGTTATCTACTGATCTTGGCATATGTGACACTCAGATGTCCACTTTGTATGACATGAAAGCGAGCCTTTATTTATCAGCTGTTGTGCAGCATGGCCAGAAGGTGCTAGATTTGAGACATCCTCAGAGTAATATTGTCTGTTTTACAATTTGCTTCTCTGCTGCTCACCTTTATTTGTGTTCCTCGAGGAGTTTGCCGATGACCATTCGGTTTGTTTCCTGTGACTGTTGGACCTCAGTGCATGGCTAATCATCGCCAGTCTTATAACTTAGAAGCAAAATGCAAGAAATAACGAACTTGTGCTATCTGTCAGGATATTTATTGTGAATAAAAAAATGAAGTAAATTTCCGAAGAATGGTTGTCTTTGTCCTAGTCATAAATCTCAGTACCTTTGTAATGTACTGTTTTTTGCATTCAACTAAGCTGTGTGTATGATAACTCAGGTGTCCCTATCTTGGTGACTTTTGCATGGTTTTTATCAGCTTGCAGAATTTTAATGCTTTCTGCAGAGATGTATGCAAATGTGGGTGTAATGTAAATGGTTTTCACCCTGCATGCAATTATTCTATAAAAAGATAAAATAAATGCACAGGTTTTGTTGTTTTATTCATTTTTGTACATATTAAATTTATACAGTATCACTGATCTCTGAACAAAGCTTTGAAGAATAGTGATGTTTCCCTTCACATCGTACTGAATGTTTACTGAATAAAATAAGTTTTTCAATTAATAACCAGGTGTTTCCCTGACCAGAAACTTTTAAAACATAGATGTATGAATGAAATTGCAATCTTCCTTGTGTAACCAACAACTGGTCATGTGCTTGGGCAAATATACCAGGTAAACTTTAACTCAACACTCTTGTTGCCTAATTGAAGTGATACTCCAGACATAAAATTTGTTTGGGAAGCTAACTACTATATAAGCAAAATTATGTACAAATGCATTTCTCATTCTTAAACATGACTAGTAAATGGGTATTTACAAACAATGAACATAATGTCCAAAATCGCGTCTTTAAAATCTCGAGATAAGCACCAAACTTGTAAACTTTGAAATGTTTGTTTACACTAATTGCACAGACCATAGAGCACTGGTCATAATAGTCAGTCTTGCTGCAATCACTTATTTCACATGAATATCGAACTCTTAACAATTCTGATTGTTTCTACGCATGGAATACCGGCCGATTCCGTGCGTTTCATACGTAGTCGGAAGGTACAGTAATAGTTTCTGTAATTGCTGCTAGACGAGGGATAGGATGCCGTCTTAAAGCGACGTCCCCCGTCTCCCAACTTGTACCTGTATTTGTATTCACCGCCACCCCTACCGCTTCATAAGTTCTATCTGGAGCAGTTGCGCATGAAAGATCGGAGTAGTATGCGCTGCTTGGAGCAGACGATGGCGGAGCATCGGGGTCGGTGTCTGACCCGTTGTACGCCGTGTTTTGGTAGGCTGGGCTGCTACTAGATTCGCGATCCAGTTCTGCATACAAAGCTTCCCCTACAGTGGTATAAGCTTCGTCCAACGTGTAGTGGTTCTCCGCCGGCGTAGTTGGCGCCTGAGAGCTGAGTTGGGGCGGTCCCGACGGCGTTCTCCGGTTTGTGAGCCAAGTCCAAACGCGTCCTCCACCGTCGCGATTTTCGAAGGTTGCCGTCACATTCTTGTCGCCTTCATGGTGCCTGGCTCGCTCCTGAGCGTTGGTTGCAGGGGAGGCAGCTGGATTTGGCGACCTGATGCATAGGGAGCAGAGACCTGTAGAGGAAGATGATTTTGTATTGAGCAGGGACAAATCGACGAAGAAAGTTTTATGTGAATGTGCCCTATGCAAGAATTCTTGCATCATGAAGTGCCTTGTGAATTTCTGAAAAGATTTGCCCAGTCATTACACATGTAGATAGGTATTGCATCTTATTATTACTGGCGAATTCAGGAGAGGGGGCATTAGGACCAAGAACGTTATTTTTCGGGAAAAATTTCATGAACTGAAATAGGACGGAGAACTGAAATAGTGCGACCCGCCCCTCAATACTTCACGGACCCACCTCTGCTCATTACATACAGTTTTCCGTTGTTAGAAACTAACAATGTCCCCGAGTATTTTCATACGAATTTTGCCATTAAAGAAATCTGGTAATGAGTAAGAACGTGTGTGTTTGGCGCCCTAGGCACTCTGCACAGACATTTGTTAGTATGTTATTTTGGTGAAGTTGCTTTGAGCCCAGTGAAAATTTATTGCGTTTTTATTGTATCTATGGGTTTTAAGAACGACATTCGATATCCCCGGCGAATAATGACGCAAACCCGTAGAGTCGACGCCGCCGCAACCATACTGAAGTATAGTTAAGCTTTTGAAACAGCATAATTTAACGTGACACTGATCAGTCGATACCTCCGAAATAAGACGAATTGCAGGTGCTGCCACCATATTTGGTGTATCCAACACTAAGCAACATGGAAATTTTGATACATGTACCTCAAGTTTTACAATATTGATGCTTTGCACCTCCCACCCCCTCCCTCCGGGCAGTTTGACTTTCCGACGACGACCTAGGCGCAAGACGTGTTCGTGGCGTGTATTTCCAACAAACTGTGGTAGGCGTTCTGAGATTTTCGAGGTAACCAGACAAACAAATGATAAGCGAACACAACCATTCTTGTGTGGTGCTGGGGATCGTGTGCTCAAAATTGTTCAAGTGATATTTATGAAGAATAAGAAATAATTCCACAGGTAAGCTGCCTTCTTTTTATTTTCATATGTGTAATATATTTTGTTGCTATTTTGAGGATATTGAGTATTTGTGTTGGATAGAATACGTTTGGCTTGACTAAAATAAAATGCATGGCTTAGCGGTGATTTGTGACTAAATTGAAATATTGTAAACATGTACACCCGAGCTAACGTACCTATTGTTAATTTTTTGGTCGGCGGGCATCGTTATGTAACATGTTCACGTATGACAATTTGAAAAGAAAAAAAAGTGAGGTTAATTGGAATTATACGGTCCAATTGATATTATAACGAATATATTCTCAAAGAATTATCATGTAACTGATTATTGTACAAACATTGTATTTTTGAGAACAAGATGCATAATTTAATTGCGAGAAAAGAACGAGTTCGAAAAGTTGACAGGACGGAAATACATTCATGGCATTTAACCAGTTTTTGAAAATTCGATTTGGCTTTTTGAATAAAAATTAAGTGTGGAGTAGGGGGAAAACAAAATGCTCATTTATCCAGTGAGCTGATATTCTACGTCAAGCAAATTTTAAGTTTACATTCTTTTTTCGGGAATACATTGTCGGGATGAATGCGATGAAGCTCAGTCGAACATGACTTCAGCGGACAATTTCCATGACGACCTACTGGAAGTCCGGATTTACATTTGGGCCTGGATCCAGGGCGCCTTTATTTAAGATGTTGCGAAATGAAATTACGTGAGCCGACTTTTGCCTTCACCGCAAAATCTAACGATTACTAGCCATAAATCTTTTGAAGTCAGTCAAGGGAAGTTTTCTGTCATTTGAAAGGCGGTGAGGTAGACCCCGCGCTGGGGACCTTACCTGTCTCCGTTGTGATGAACCGTGTGTCCTTTACAGCAACAAAAATAGTTTGTATTGCGTACAAGCTTGTGTGTGCCTCATTGGCTAGTGATTATTATGACGACTGTGAATACAGTAAAATAAATTGTACTGCCTTCATTTAAAAGTATGTAAATAGTGGTAGACATATGTTCTGCAAGAATGGAGGCGCACTTTACTGTGTTGTTACTGTAATTCCTCTGGTACTCAAATGTTACTTTAATCCCGGCAATAAAAACCTTAAAAGGAAAAGTATAATTAAAATCGCTCTCGCTAAATTTGTCACTGAAATGCATTATTTTATTAAGATATTCTTTATCCTTTAAAACACCTCTTTACATACATTTTATAAAAATCATTTTACCCTTATTCTTAAATGAAATTGCATTAATTCCTCAAACACGAATGTATATTAATGTGAAACTTATTTGTTCAAAAATTTTAATTAAAAATCATTGGCGTGGTTGTGTGTAACCCACCCCCCTCGTGTTCGTTAGGCTTGTAGCTTTTTTTGAATTTTTGTTTCCCGGCTTACACTTACGTTGTAGTCTGTAAACAGCAACTGACACGTCAAGTTACAAGCATCACAGGGCAGGTGTCAGATTTGGTCGGGAGGCCAAGATGGGAAAGTAAAAACAGGGTGTACGGTGAACACTGGTTTTGATTGTAAAGAACATAGTCATACTAAATTGTGCTTGAGAAGTAGTATGAATAAGTCTATTGAAGGACATACCAGAAATGCAATAAAGGTTTAATATTTTAATATCTGAAAAAAAAAATTCAAATGGGTTTAGGCCGGTGCGGATCCATGGTGAGGGAAATTAGGGAAATTCACTCCCCCTCCCTAACTTTTTTCAGTAACTATAAATTTAACTTGTCACGAAATGTCCAAACAGAAATATATTCGGATAATCATTACAACGAATAAAACCTAATCGCAGCATGAGCTGAGTGTAGCCTGCAAACTTTTACAAAATCTATAATATGACACATTGAACCAAAACATTTTGAATTTTCTTTCCCAAAATTCGTCTCTGGATCCGTCTATGGTTCATGGGTGTCACGATTCCTATAAACACCGCACCGCGCTGCCCGGCCTGTCTCGTTAAAAACAATCGAAGGCACCCTCATTAATGTATTTGGAATAGCCATCAATTACATATTTCATCTTTATTATACATTTCAATCCCTCAATTCGTGGCGTTTATTGATATTTTCCTGCTTAAGCAGCACACGACGCAACGCGCGGTGAGCAACGGTGCCATGCGTATCACTTCATTTAACATCGAATGGCGCATTTTCAAAAAGTTCACTAGGCTTTATAAAGGCATATATATATACACACACATTTCATTAAGGAAAATATCTACAATATTTTGGTTGTAGAAAGTCGCCTAAAAAAATGAACTTTACAATTTTCGAAAAAAATCAGTGATTTTAACGAAAATGAGACCTGTTCCATTCTCATATAGAATTGTTACGTTATTTCACTTTACTTTGGTAGATTATTTATTTAAATTCAATTCAATTATGTTCATTTGCACACTTTATATGTGCAAACTGCATTATTTTTTTCCGCGGGCTTTACGCTATCCGACAACAAAATTGAATAAAAAAATTGTGCAATTTTTTTGAAAATGTTCCAATGTTCGTGTAAAGTACCCTCCAAAATTAAAATATCGGTTTTAAATTCAAGGGGAATCGGACAGATCGATTGGGGAATATCGATGTTGGTGAAACTTGTGCTTACGGTTTAGTCGCTAGGCTTTGTTCACGGACGGACGTTTTGTCGCAAATTTTCGGTATCAAGGACTCGCAGAGCATGAATTCTGACTACACCATGTGTTGAAGGATTTTTAAATATATTTAGCATCTGGATTTATCCACTTTTTCGTTACTAGAGTCCGGAAATGTTTTTCTGCCGAAAATTCGCCTTTTTTTCGTGCAGACTTACATTTCTCTCTACTTTAAGCAGTAACGAGAAAGTCAAAATGTCACTGAAGAAAATAATATGGACGTATTGTATTGTGCAAAAGGTTATTAAAAAACGTTGTGTTATGAATTTCTATTTTCTGTTAGTTCTGGGCTAGCTTTAATGGAGACGTGGCAGTGTCTGGCTTTTTATAATTTTTGAACTCCATAACAATATTTATCATGGATTCGCATATGTGAGTGCTGTTATCTCGAAAGGAATTGTATATTTTGAGTGGGCATAGCCAAGGGGTGTACAGATGGAAACATGATATTAAACATTTGTTTATTCAATTATATTTAAAAAACTTTAGTTTGTAAAAAATAATATTGTAACAAATAGTAATTTTTTGATTCTTTATGTATTAATGATTCTTTCATTTAAAGACATAGTTTTATATGAAAGAAAATTTTGATTCTTAGAAAAAAAGTTTGTGTTATCAATTTGTAATGATTAATTCATTTTATTAATATAAATGTATATTGTTGGTGTATGTATTGGTTGTATTCATTATTTTATGTCCTTTGTAATTTATTAATAATATTTTTAATTTCTCTTTTGACACACACACATCCCCTCCTCCCGATTAAAATTCTGGCTACTGATTTTCTTTTGACTGTATGTTTGTGCATGTTGATCGGTATTTCTGTGAGCGATAGTCGCAGGTTCCTCAGAGATTTAGAATACCTAGAATATATAACGCCTTCTGCTAGCCAGAAATGGAAATCATAGAACATCATTAATACGGCCGTTTGGTTACAACTGAGCGTACAAGTTGTCTTTAGTAAAAAATAAAAATTCACGGCAATGTCTCATGTGCCACGACTTAGTTCTGCGTCTTAGTCTCTTATATTAATGTTTTTTCATTCGAAAACAATTTTGAGAACATTTGAAGAAGCGTTAATTTTCTTTGTTGACTCCTGCAAACATATTTGCTTTTATAGATATTACTGATGACGACATAACTTTACCAAACTCATTTGCTGCTGCCTTCGTTCATTCTGTTAATTATTAACAGTTCATTCGTGATGACTTAGCACCAATCCCCTCCGCGACGTTGTGCAAAGGATCCCCCAAAAGGAGGTAAATGTGAAGAAATGTTACGTATGTACGTAAAAAAAATTAAGTTAAAATGAAAGATAACGTATGTATTGTAGTTCTATGTACAAACTGACCAACCGCGATAAGAGTTTGAAGGAATCACAGGTTATGATCTGCAGACAGAACTAAATTGCAAATACATGTACCAAAACGTGTGTTTTTGTTACAAGATGCTTCCGATGATGTATTTCTACAGAAATGTTCAAAACAAAAATTTGACTCATGCTAATACTTTCCCACATTACATAACATTCATATTGCGAAGAAATAATACTGATTAATTATATTTATTTGCATGCAAAATATATTTGTGAAATGAAAAACATTTTATACTCGATTAATGGCAGTGGCGGTTCGGGCCGGATGTAGCATGTTTGCGCTTCAAATTAAAAAACAAAACATTGCCTTATTTTTACATACATATAAGGATATTTGTGTCATTCATTTTTACTTTCATAAGTCATAAACGCACCACAATGGTCTTGCAATAACTGCAAATCAGATATAAGAAATTAATCCGCACGTTTACTGCGACCCTCAGCGGCTACACAGCCAAAGCTGGAATATAGACGAAGACAAACCAGTATGACGATTCAGAGACGATGAGGTGAGGCTTCGCGGGGGGTTGTCTTCATGATGTTGGTCAACATTGCGACATGGTTCTGAGCACGCCCGACAGATAGCTGCAGCCTTCAGCGATTTTAAAATATTGTAGTTCCTGTCTCTCCGTAACGGGTCTCGGAATCTTTCCTGCATATACTATTGTGTTAATATTACATCAATTGAAAATTGTACTTGAAAAGTTTGTAATTGTAATTGAAAAGTTTACTTGCAAGTTTGAATGTTTTTTATTTATAATTTTAAATAATAACTAATGTGGAAACGGATGTCTCGAAGAAACACGTGAAATTTTAGATACAGTGTATTTCTGAAACGTACTTATGAATTCATTGTATACCAGTCTCAGCATTCGAATCCTCCCACCCTCACCCCTTAATGCAATTACTCGTTCAACCCACCAACTTTTGAGGGCACGAGCCGCCACTGATTAATGAGTTTAAAATCACAATATTTTTTTAAAATTTCCACATATTTTTTGAAATCATTTTTTGTTGTGCTTACCTGCAGAACCGACGTTTTTTAATCTGCTGCAAACAAAACAAAACATTCTTTTAGATCTGTGCCACAAAACCTTTTTATGAGTCAATTTTAAAATTAACAACAATTGTTTCGAATTGTAAGATTAATATAGACGAATGAGGTAATATTGCATGCCGGAAATTTGATAAAACTTCTTTTTTTCTTATCCCATTACTTTTAGTTTTTGTAAAAAATATCCAATTTTATTAGAGACATATTTTTGCTTACGTAAGGTCGCAATGTCGGACTCACCAAACTAGCAATTTCTTGAAACTCCGCGTCTCAATGAAGATCCTAGATTTTTAGTTACCTTCTTATGAAGTATTAATGAGGATGCACAAGAGCGTGTAATGAAACTGTTTCTGAATTTTGTTTGTCTTGATATTGCCTATTAATAATTTTATGAATTAAATATTAATCTATGAAGTGGTAAAAGGGATGCTTTCTAAATTTAACAATGGCTTCATTAATAGTAGATAGTAGTTGTAGAAATAGTAGCAGTCCGAATAGTCATCGTAGCAGTATTAGTCATAATAGTTATAGTACTCGGAGAGATTTTGCTGTTGTTGCAGAAGCACCAGTAGTTATGTAGTCATAGTAGTTAGTAGTCGTCATGGTAGTCGTTCAAGTCTCAGTATTGGTGTTGTTTATACTTTCTCGCCGCACTTCGTATTTTCGTAGTAAAGAGAAAGTGTTGTAATGCTGCCGAGGAATGTGGCGATATTTCATCAGAAAAAACGTGTAGTTTGGATCCTGATATCGAAAAAATTTGATATATTGTGTTTCTGTATGTTGTAAGTTATTTCCTCTAAAATGTGCGTTGTCAGAATCCACATTTTGTGGGTCCTTCGTAATACAAAAATTGGTTTATGGCAAAACATCTGTCTGCCCGAATAACACCAGCGGCTAAACAATAGGCCGGATGTTCTCCACAGTTGATATTCCCCAATCTATTTTGCTGCACTCGAAACAATGTGAATTTGAATCGAATTTTGACTAGGACTTAATGGAGTTTCAACATCTTTAAAATGTTCTAAAAAATGGCTCAACATTTTTTATTAATGTTTTTTCTCGGATAGAACAAATAACGCTTAAACAAGACGTAGGTCTGAAATGTCGAAAATTGCAAAAGTTGAAACGTTTTTTTGTCTTTCTACAACAACAATATTTTAGATGAAGATTTTTTCCTTCATGGAATCTGTCTCTCATAAATAGATCTTTACATAATGCCATGTAAAATTTGTCCATGTTATGTGTGTTTTCGCGTAATTGTCGTGATTCACGTATTATCGCGTAATTTCGTGAAATATAGACAATTTTAATAAGAACATTTTCTCAAAAGCAACTCTACATGTTTTCTTTAATTTGTTGGATAGAGCTAAGTACGCTTATAAAATGGTGCAGGTTCCATTTTCGGTGATCTCTCTCAATTTTCAAAAATTGTAAAATAATAATTTGTCAAAGCTACAGTAGTGCTATTTTTTCTTCAACGAAATATATTCTAAAAATATATCTTCAAATAAGATCATGTTGAATTTTCTGAAAATATAAGTAGTTTTTGCCCAATCTTTTTGAAGTACAGACAACTTCTAAAAAATTCTCAAAATCGACACTAGTTTTTTTCTTTAATTATGTTTCTCTAATAGAGCAAACGGTGCATGTAACAATATCGCAGATCCCATTTTCATTGAACTCTTATTATTTTTGAAAATTGTGTAAGTTTAAATGATGTTTGGCGTCTAATAGAAGTTTGAGAGATTTTTGCTAAAAAAGAAGTTTAAAACTATATCTTGAAATGCTATATATGAAAATCTCTACATTTTTAAAAATTGCAAATGCAACTGTTCAACGTTGTTTTTAAAGCATCGAGAAGGTTATGCTTGACTGTCAGGTTGGTGGTGTAGGGGTAACGTAAATGGTGTGCCGAACATAACTTGTGTTCGAACTCCAGCGTGGAAGAAATGCTGGTTGGGAACACTTTTGCAGGATATAGAATTATTATAATATTGTTTGGCCTTTAAAAATAATATGAAGAAAGAAAAAATGTACTATTGCAGCATCATTAGTTCAAAGTATTTGTCGTAGTAAGTCATTAGTACAGAAGTATACGTTGTTTTAGTAGTAGGTACCCTTCGTAAAAACAAAAGCAATAGCCCTCATCATTGAAGTAATCTCTGTAGGAAGACTGAAATGGTCAATGGTGGTCACGGTGGTGGTGATGGTGGTGGTGGTGGTGGTGGTGGTGGTGGTGGGAGTACTGGAAGTACAATGCAACCATTTTATTAGTGTGTCGTGATCATGGAAAATTCTGTTCGGTCGACGAGCCGTCACTCGCTGGAGAACGGTGCGCTCAACCTCCCTGCGGACGGTAATGCCCTGCAAAGGGCATGCTTTCCAGTCTTATTGAATAGTCGGTTTGTGATCCCGCGCTCGAAGTTCTTTTAAACAAAATGTTTGTGTATGACAAGAACGTAAAATGTGCCAAGCCGCTATGTGCAACAAATCCTAGATCCTTTCTTCTTAATGTCAAAAAATGAGCGTAATTACGATCATTTTCAACAGTATTCCGCAACCGCACACACTGCGTGGGGTTTGCATGCTGAAGACAGAATTATTACACGTGGTTTGTGATCTACACATTCTCCTGATCTGACTCCGTGTGATTTCTTTCTTTGTGACTTTCTGAAAGTTCGCATATAATGGGCAAATCCCTACACGAAATAAATTGACACAGTATACAGGAACAGATCTCTGCAATATCACAGGACATTTTTTTCCGAGTAAACCAGAACTTATGTAGATATCAATAATGCATGAAAGCCACGGTAAGCAGTTGCAGCATCTTCTATTAAGTGAGTACAATTTAAAGTTTTCGGTAGCGAAAAACCACCTTCCCTCTTCGGCGATTCTACCGGCTGCCCTGTCTCCATTATTTTCATTTGTGTCAACAGCGTTATAAGCTGGGTGTCATAATTCCTTCAGCAAGTAGTCCATGAATAATTTTATGTTAACTAATTGGTGAATGCTCTGCGCATGCGTGTATAATTTGTGTCAGTGTTCATGTAATTAATAATTGTAAGAATTTGTGCATCATGGCCACTGTAACCAGATTAGTAATTTTTATTTCATGTCTAGTTCTGATTTTGTGAATTATAATTTGATCTATTGCTTTTTGTAATGTAAATGTATTCGATTTCCGCGGCATCCGTGGCCTCGTTCGCCAAGGCCAAATCCCCGCGCTATCGGCACATTCATAAAATGGCTGCACTGTGCAGTGGAAGTACGGTGGTTGCAATGAAGTTGAAGTGATCATAGTGGAGATAGTAGGCAGTATGTTGGGAGTAATGGTAGTGCAAGTTGTAATATTTGCAGTAGTAGTAAACTGATTTTTATTTAACTTGCATGGAGGCTTTCTATATCGATGAGCACGAGTCTCAGCTTAAGGTCAGTCCGACAGCGTTTCAACAACAATACGTGTATGTTAATAATTCAAGAGTCTCGTCTTCTTACCTTCGGCATTGCAGAACAGTGACCATTATTACAGCTCCAATGGCTGCAGATAAAATGGATACAATGGCCAACGTTAACGCCCATCCTATTTTTCCTGGTCGATCTGAAATCAAAAGTGAAATATAAGTTCATTGGATTGGAATTTGAAAACTAAAGTTAATGTAATTCCTGTTGTTCACGGAAATATTTTCTGTAAACTTGTTTTACAAAACATTTCATAAAAAGCACTGTTTATATAATCTATTTTTTGCATAGTAAAATTAGTTTTATCTAAAAAATTATGAGATAGAACATGTTCTATCAAATAATTTTAGCAATAACCACTGAGCATTTGCGAATGCTGTCGAGAGCTACGTAACTGGTGAGAGTACCGCGAAGCTCAAGCGACTACAAACTGTGCCATATTTGCAACCGGGCGTAGGCTAAGTTACTTTCCTCGGAAGAAGATTGACTAAACGAGCATCGAACTAATGGTGTCGTCTGTGAGTGAAGGAGGAAATCAAAAGACAAGGTACCCATATGAATAGCAGAAGTACCCTCATTTGTATATTGTCAACAACCTTTTGTATTATAATCGTAACGCAAAACGATAGGTTGAACAATAACGTTTGTACTCCCCGTACGCTCCCCACAGAGAGCAAGCCAAACAGTTTAACGAAACATTTGACTATGTACATCACACTTATATAATGAAACGTTTTATAAAACATTTTATGTACGTTTCATAAGTCTCGTTTTATAAAAAACCTGATCGTGAACAAAAGGCATAACATCTATTTGTATTATCCTTTGAAAGGTTTTGAAAATCACTCTGGACTATTTATCTACAAACTTATCTATATAGTATCTACATAGTTCCTATCTATCTGTACATCTATACAGAAGTAGTAGGTATATAATCTACAAATCTATTTATCTACAAAACCTATCTATATTATCTATATAATTCCTATGTATCTGTATATCTAAACAGAAGTAGTAGTATATAATCTTGGCTACTTGTTATAAGCATCGATACTAAAAATTCATGAGTTCAAGAAACATTTCGATATTGTGCGAGAAACGCCTATTTCAGCGTAAGTGAGTAAAATTATCAATTCGTCAATATACGAGAGATTTCTTCCATCTTGTACTCCGTTAATTTCGGTGAAGACCAAATACTGGCTGCTTTACACCGACCTCTCCTTACGACGTAACCGATATAAAGCAACTAAATACGACGAGTAAAGTTACCAATTCCAATTTTTATTTTCGTGTTCGAATCTGCAATTTTTTTATTTAAGGTATTTTCACATTTCTCCGCAAAATATCATGGGAAGTCAGATTCACTGTTCGATTGATGTCGTTAGGGACAGTGAAGTTTCTTGGAAACGTGTCTAAGATTTCCGCTCTATAAATATTAGCTCTTCTTATCTCTGTCGCAATTGTTTCAATGTAACTTAAGCTTACTCGGAAAGGTTCTTTTCGAAGATGAACGCTTGAGCAGGGTGTCAAAAAAGTTGATTAACCTTACCGTGTCAGTAATTTATATCACCGGTGTTGTAGGTGATTGCTAAGATTCTTAGGGCAATTAAACAAAAAAATTACGGTAAAAAGTTAAAATATGAATTCCTTTTTGCCGATTAATTTGTTCAATAAACACTGAAGAAACACTTGTAAGTGACTTCTTTGTCACTTCGAAGGAAGTAGTAAAAATATCACTGTTTAAATTGTGAAATTTAAGTGACTTCAATATTGTGTTTCCCCATTCTATAAAAAAATAACGCATTTTTGAAGAAAATAAAGTTTGTTCAACATGTCAACTAACTATCACTTAATCTTTTTAGTCTTGTTTAAAACTATTTTAGATGTCAAAACGGTAGTTTTTTATATTAAATATCCACGTTTTATATAATAGATTTTGCTGATGAATTCAAGGTTTTTATATTGAAACAATTTGGTTGTCTTCGAGTCTAAAATGATTGGACGCTTTATAGAACTGTCAGTCATGACCATTTGTAGTTGATGTTTTATGTTATGTATCCATCATTCTTTGGTTTCTAAACATCTGAAACAATCCCATTCAAAATGGGTATTTTGATTTTTCGTTTTGATCTTTATGAAATCGAAATTGCACATGACTACGTTGGTCGTCGTTTGCCAGTCACGTATGTGTTCTTGCATGTTTACACAAGGAATTTTTAATTTTGGTTCAATTGTGAATTCGAATTATTTATTCAGACATTATTAACATTCATTCACTTCGCATGATAGGAAGAAAGGAATGAAGCAAGATAGGAAGGAAGGAAGGAAGCAATCAAACAAGGAAGGGAGGAATCCAAATGTATGCTAAGAAGCAAGCAAGCAAAGAAGGAAGAAAAAAAGCAAGTAAGGGAGCTAGCGAGAAAGGAAGTTAGGAAGCAGAAAGGAAGGAGTGAAGTAAGGAAACTGGCCAGCAAGGAATGATGCAAGAAAGGAAGTAAGTGCGGAAGCTTGTAGGAGGGAAGGGGCATAGAGGCTTCGGGGCAACCGGACTCACCGGCGTCGTGTGGGCCAGCGGCGCCGGGCCGGCCGCGCCACGCCCACGTGCAGAGGTCGCAGGTGGTGAGGCCGTCGGGCTGCGCGGCGTGCTCGTCGAGGAAGGCCGGGCGCGGCGGCGGCGGCACGAAGGCGCTTGCCCACAGCCCGCCCTCGCCGTCCAGCGGCAGCGAGCGCACGGCGTCCTCCTCGGCCGCGCCCGCCCACCATTCCAGCGCCGCCGGCTCCTCCTCCGAGGACGCGTTGCCCTCCTCGGGTCCCGCGCCCGCGCTCGCGAC